TATATATTATTTATATAATTCTACATATTCTAATTCTATTTTTCTAATTGCGATTAGATTTTTTAATAATAATTGTTGTAAAAAAATTTTAAATGTTCAGTATTGATCATACAATCTCTATAATTGTATGTAAAACCTGTATATATTATATTGGTTATAATTTGAACGTATAGAACACACACACTTACTCAAAATTATTAATGACGCTATATAAATAATATTTCATCATTATTTTTATCCTTGTAGCTTCAGGAATGTTTTAACTTGCGCATACAATCGCGGTTGGTCGTGTAATTTAAAATGGAACGGTCGTGTTCGTTGATAGTTCGCGACAGCAATCGGCTATAAATTTATGTGCGGTGTGTTATTTGAGCGGTAACGCATGATAACGGCACGCTAAGTCCGTTTGGTTATCGTTATCGGCGCAAAATCGGTTGCACATGTGTTGCCACATTCCAGTATGGAATTCGCAGGTACACAGTCTAAATTTTTGGGAATGAAAATCATTCTTGCCCGACTAACGCAACTACTCACTTTTCTTGGAGAGAAATTCCATTTCCAATAGAATGCACGCAGAACGAACTCTGTGAAGTTCTAGCACTTCATTTAAAAAAAAAAAACTTTTTCTTACAATTTCAATGCATCCCGAAGAGTTCTAGAATTTTGTAATAAAATTAAAAATAGTTCTGATAAATTAAGCCATAAATAATAAAATCATCGATATAAATTTTTCCAACTTCATAAAACTAAGTACGAGACATTGTGACATCTCTTTAAATATTAGGGTCCGAGTTATCATTTGTTCTTCACAAAACTAAGTACGAGACATTGTGACATCTCTTTAAATATTAGGGTCCGAGTTATCATTTGTTCTTGTTGTTTACCAATTAATAAAGAATGATAAAAACGATACATCATGCGTTTCATACGTAACTCGGAACGCACCTTTAGTTTCGAGAACGAAACGCGAATCGTGAAGGAATGCAGACCAACTGAATTCCGCGTATTCACCGATAGTCCACGATAATGCATTCAGTGACAAAACAAGAGTTACATCCCTCCTTTGTGTCTCTCTGTCCCCATTGCGTCGTCTTTACCGCGGCAACACCATGATAAGAAGCGATGACTGAGCATCTTATCAAACGAATTCTTCAGTGGCGTGACTCACTGGCAATGATACTTATAGATACCATATGTATTATCTCCACCGTGCTATGGTGGCGCAATATAATTCGAAATTATAACCCTAATCCGCTTACGATTACCGACACTATGCTGTGTCGGTCGCTTTCATCGACCCTTGAACTCTACTGAAAGCAATCGAATCGAATGGATGCTACTATTTTGATGATCAATAGAAGGAGGATGCCGATGATTCATAACAACAGGCGAGCTGGCGATAACAAGAACACCCGGGTCGATCACCTAGCTAGAACATCTACGTCATCAAGTCACACACCCCATAATTATTCATAATTATCTTTGATAAACGCATTTGAGCGCTCACGTACTGTGCCGCTCACGATAGCTTTGGTTCTCTAATAATAAATATAATAAAAATTGATTGGAACGATATAAGATTAAGATTTTGGATGAAGAACATAAAAGGATTTAATAAAAGATTAATTTCGGAAGCGATCCATATAAAAAAGCAAAAAAAATGGACTGAATTTATAAAATGACACGGAAATGTTGGATCTGTTATATAATGACTTAATTAAGAAGAAAAAAATGATGTTTCTTTATTTTATAAACTATAAAATTTGTATCGTTGATTTCTATTTAATTTCGTGATTATTCAATTTATTTAGTATATGATTTGATAATTTATTTAATTGTCTTGTCTGATAAGTTATAATTTTGTATCGTATCAATTTTCATGTTGGTATTTATTCTATTTAATATTTATACTTATAAACAATATAAATACGAAACGCTCTCTCACACGCTCTCAAGACATAGTTATAATCACATCGAAATTTATAACGGATCATCGTTATGCTGAATACAAAGTAAAGTTTATTTAATTGATATAATTAATTTTAATACATTGACTATGAATAGCATTACAAAAATTTCAATTACTGACACAATTTTAGCTAAATGACAGAATGTTTCTTGTTTGGGTATTCAATTAAGTACAACAGACGACTATAAAGTTCTTAAATGTGGACAACAGTCTAACGATAATTTATTAACTATATTTGTATATCTTTTTACAACGATTTAAATTGACTTCGAAAAATATTATTGACACACTGAAAATGACCGATCTTGTAGTCGAAACATCTGTAATTGATGATTATATATTATATTTTATTATACACGTACAACTGTGTCGGCTCTTATTGGCATTATGCTCCTTTATTGATTTAATCTTTGGAGCCTTTTTTCTCAATTTTTAATTAAAAATTGATAGCTTTATAATTCTTGAAATTTAATTTTGAATAATAAATAATTACATTTACTTCCTTAGCAAGGAAAACAGGACATTGGAATTAAGTTTAATTTCGAATTTAACAACTTTGTTTTACTTAGCATTCTTCACGCTTTGCATACACGGTAAGAACAGTTTTATTGAAGTATTTAAAAATTTAGTTTGGTGCACTAAAAGACAAATGGCTGAATATGACATAGCATTTTTAATTAGTTGCAGCCAATTTTTGGTTGCGTTAGCCTATCGAAATTTTATACCGACATTGCGGATAAGATAATCAAAAATTGATTGCTTCAACCAAAAATTGGCTGATGCATTAAAAATTACTTTACTATATCCAATTAAAAATGCTATGCCATATTTTACCATTTAATTTGCTGCAGCAGCAAATCTTTTCTTTCAGTGTGAATTAACAAAATTATTTTCAGATCTATATCTAGCTAAATTTTTTAATATTTTAGTAAAATCGTTCTTCCTGTACAAATGTAGATACAACAGCTTAATTTTATTCAGTATTCTTAACATGTACAAAGTACATTTAGCTAATTTAATCTCATGCGACTAATGAAGGATTAAATGTTGAAAGTGCCGTCCCTTTCTAAGTCTATCTTTCCTCAGAAACAGATATAACCAGCTTGACTTCGGCATTTTGCTTGGAATTAATTTGCGACGAGTGAGGAAACGCGCGACTACGGACGGATCTTGTTTCTAGTCGAGTCACCTCGCATGATCTCTCGAGAGGTCCGATGGGACATGTAGAGTTCCACAGTCGGTGGCGACAGCTTTCCTTCGCATCTCATCGCTTATCAAAGTAGTTAGTTCCGTTTAATTTGCTCGGAACGGCGAACGCGCGCACGCGTGAAATCCCGTCCATTACGAAACGGTGAGAAGGCGTGTTTCCACCGTGTGAGAGGCGTCGCGACTTCCAGACGGGAACCAATCGATGATTTCTCGAGAGTCATTAACTCACATAACGAATGATGCCAGGAGAACGTTGATGTCGATACCGCCATACTGTTATGCATGGCGCCCGTACTTCTCATCTTTATCAATTAGAATTTATACGATTGCGGAATTATTGAGATTTAGGCAACAAACAGGATTATCATTTCGCGGTCATATATTAATAGATGGTGCGGTCAAAGCCTAGTATAAATAAGATAAGAAATGATATAGATATAATGTAAAAAAAAAAAGAAAAAGTTTTCGCAAACAAGAAACATTGTCGAGCCTTTCACGAGGAAATATATTCCTGTTTGGTAGGTCAGTTACACATATTACTAAGCGACGCGTAATCGCCGGAATTGCTTGAGACAAGTGAGCATAAGATAAGATATCGATTCAAACACAACGATGAGTGACGAAATATAGACGACGTGATGCCCGCACCTTGCACGAAATACCGGCGTTCAGCCTCGTTAACTTTATCGACAAATCTCGAAATTGGGTCCAGTCGGTTCTGACACGTCGCGGTGAACGCGTTGTCCTCTCGATTTATGCAGTTGATTGCGACTCTTTATATCATTCGTGCAATTAACTCACGATTTTTGAGGAAAAAGATTCATCGAAGAAGTGAATAGTTCTTGGAATTTAAAGTCGTATATCAGAATTTTGTGCATTTAGAATTAATCACATAAAAATCTTAAACAAGTTTGAAGTGACGAGTAGCTTTAGAATTTACTGGATTTTTCTTGAAAGAGAACGAGAGTGAGAATGTATAATGAATCATGGTCGTGATAAAAAGTGAAATTTTGTAAGTTGATCACATTTATGTTCAGGATTTATATTTTCGCATTTTATCACTCAAAAAATTACCAAATTTTAATAAATATTTATTTTAATAGTAGGTATTAACTAAATATTTATTAAATGTAAACATTTATTTGGTAATAAGAATCATTAATTTAAGTATAAGTTTTTTAATAAGTAAATATTTATTTGCCCTAAGTAAATGTTTAGTAATATTTAAACAAATATTTATTAAAATTAAGTAAATTTTTTCAGTAATATTATACAGAGTACAATTGTGGTCTAGTTCATAGTATTATCGAGTAATAATTTTATTATATTAGAAAAGAAGGTATATTGAAAGAAAAGATTGGTTGTTACAGCAAATTAGATGGTAAAATATGGCAAAGCATTTTTAATTGATTGCAGTAGCTAATTTTTTATTGCTTTAGCCTATCGAAATCCTATATTAACATTGCAGATAGGCTAATGCAACCAAAAATTGACTGCTGCAGCCAATTAAAAATGTTATGCCATATTTTACTATCTAATTTATTGCAGCAGGAAATCTTTTCTTTCAGTGATAACTGAATCAGTCTCTAGGCAATCAGTCTTAGCAAGATATTACAAAATTTCTTTGAATAATTTAGAATTCAATTTGAACTCGATCGAAGCTAATAAGAGTGCGTGACGTGCTTATGCAATGAAAATAATCGATTGCAAGTCTCGATACTGATTCGGATGGAATGATGATTTGGCAATAATATCATCGTGATTAGCGGCGATGTAAAAGACCAGGAATGTACGAGTACATGTTTATTGATTCTGTCGACAGATCGGCGGCGCAGTAGCCATGTCATCGTCGGATCGACACGACGGATCATCACGAGAAATCGGCGTGGAGCTGGGAGAGAGTCATCGTCGTCGGCCCGGTATATTTAGGGCCACCGAATAACGCCGGCAACCGAGAGATCGGTAACCGAAGGATCGATACGAGCGAATCGATCCACCAGCTCGCAACCTACGGCCTCCTTGCTGGCCTGGCCAGCTACTATGCGAATTGAAGCTCTCAGCACCCTCGTCGCGGTAAGTTCTAATTGTAAGATGAATTTTGGCGAATTGCTATTTTTACACTGAAAAATGTCTGATTGGAAATTTGGTTGAAAATGAACGAATCAGAATTTTCTAATTAAATCTATTAAATTCTAGTTGTGATAATTAGAATTCTGATTGATCAGTATCTTGTGGTTCGTCCATTTCCAAGCATTTTCTTAGTGTACATTCAAATCCGATAAATTTAACTTCGAAACTTTTTCAGTGTGTAACGTGTTTAAAGAATTATGTGCCCACATATTCAAGAAAGATAATGAGTAAGAGCGGAAACTCAGAGTCTTGCATATAAATACATAATATATAAAAAAACGAACTAATCAAAGTCCTTCATTTCCTTCCTTTATATAAAATAAAAGATCTGATTGGTTTATTTTCTTATGCTTTTTGTTATGCAAAGACCTGTACTCCGGCCTTAACTGAAATTGCAAATTTTGAAAAAAATTTAGAAAACAAAAAAATCGTCGAAGTCGCATTTGTCGTATTAATCTGATTAAGTCTATATTAAACTATAAATTAGAGCTTGAGAATTGCAAATTAAAAATTCAAATTAAACTGATCAAACGTATTAAAATTAAATTTATTTGATTAATCGATTTTAATCTCTCATTTTTAATTTATAAACTTTAATCTTCAATATAACACGGGCTTTGGATAATTGACTCGTTAAATTATTTTTCGAAGAGAGTCAATCGAAACCTGTTCGACACATAAAGTGTTAACAGTAGCCTCTCCACGGACATGTCTTAATAAAATCCTTCACCATGTGCCTGTTGCGTGCGGAGTGCTTAAGGTCACCCATAATTATAATCGTGTACGAGCCCCCGTACGATTGATGCAACAATCGACGAGTGTGCACGTCCTGGTGTTGCATTGTACCGGATGAGCGAGCAGCAAAACAATAATTGCAATGTCCCGTAACTACGTAACGATCGTAAACCACCGGCCGCGTGCGTTATTAGCATATTATTGAGATAGCGGTGTGCATATACGCGGACCGCTGATAGAGCTATGTATGTCTCACGTTTTCCTCTCTCAACTGCTGTCACGAACATATCGATAAATTTTTAGAATTACGACGAGAATCACGCACTCTTTCACGCGTCTCTCCTCACATTTTTTTTTCATCTCCTACCTATATTTTATCACAACCGGACAACCGAACTTTGTCGCGTTTTCGTACAATTCACTTTCGATATAATTTGAGACATAATTGTTATTTATTATAATTTGAATAATTTCATATATAAACGCGTCAATTTGTACTAAAATCTTTCTAATAATATTCGAAGAGAAATGGAATCTATCGGGTGAAATATGGCACAAATTTTTGGCATGTAAAACACTCGTAAATATTCACTATGGATTTGTACAAAATATATAATACTTTGTCGATATTGATAATTGAAATGACCATGGAACGTCATATTTTATTTAGAAATTTAAATAATAAACAATTAATTCATTTCTTCCTATCTTTACGTCCTATTTATAGGATAGCATCTTTTTAATTTTTTTCTCCACATGAATATTCTTGGAGCATCTTTTCGTATACGTACGGATTATATATATATATATATATATCATAGAGAAAAAAAAATTAAAAAGATGCTGTCCTATAAATAAGATAGTGGGAAGAAAGTTAAGTTAAAATGGACCGAGAAGTGTTCAACATAGATAAGTAAAAAGGGCCATATTCGATCAAAGCGGGTCATTTAAATAATAAATTGCGTCATATACACTTCATTCGATTACATTGATCGGTATTGCGATTGATATAACGTTCGTAGGACCGCACGCTGATCGTGTTCAGGACCGATTAGTGATCCTGCAACATCGGGAGAAGAGAGAGCAACATCCCTATCACCGGTCGACGTCACGCATACCGGTGGTATCTACATAACATTATGTGCTGACGATGTACAGATATACGAGACCGGCGGCGATCTCGCGACATTACTACGACCGTGGTATTGATAAATGATAATCATTGGTGCATCGCACGGCTGCTGCATCGATAATTTAATAATGGTAGATTAGTGACGCACACGCACGTAAACTGGCAATAGCCGGGCCAGCCTCTCACGGCGGCATTACTATGCTAATCGGCCTGCATTGGCTCCGATGCCTTCAATAAATAATCCTCTTAACGCGACGTTAAACAGAAATACAGCTTATACGCCGCGCGCATCACGGTAGATGTGACGACGATGCATCGACGACAAGTCGATGTTGCCGATTTGTGCGAATGTTGGATGCTGCCGGTACTCGATGATGCCGTCGGGATTTTGCGGAGAGCAAGATTTCTGATTACCTCGGATCATCATAAATATTACGTTGCCATCGGTACATCGTCGAACATGTCGGACGTGATAGCAGATCTTTAAATTTATTTCAATTTCCACAAAAATGCGTCGCTTATTATATTCAATCTATTTTAATTATAAGAGCAAGAAATCTCGGAATCAAAAAAGTTTTTCCAGTTTTGAATTTTAAGATGTATGGAAATCTTAATCAATGCAGGGATATAATTTGTAGCAACGTCATTTGGAAGTTATTCAATGGTAGAGTCATTGTGAATAACTAAAGAATGACTATATGGAAACCAAAGAATGACTGTATGGAAACAGTTCAATCGATACGCCCCTATACTCTTTGATTTCCAATGAGATCGAATGCTGATCGTGAGTATTGGTATTGATTTTAAAGTCGCTGATTAGTTCTCTCTATTGAATAATTTATCGCTGTTAGCGATTTGAATGGTAGAAACAAAAACGCTTTGTCGATGATAATAATATACAAGAAAGGCTAAAATTGACGATTGGCAACAGACTAACCAGAAACAACGCTGCCAATAACTTTGCCGTTGCACCTGGCTTTTATGCTAATGTGTCGGTTAGTGCATGAAAACAACTTGTAAACTTTCGGACCTAACATACGCTAACCAAGGGATCTGTGAAGTTAGCACGACTGTGAAGTAGCACATTTTTTTTAGTTACATCAATGGAACTATTTCTAAAACCTATCAGGAAATACAGAAGTTCGAGAACTATAAAATTTCATGATCAAAATTAATTTTTTCAAATTTTGAGATGCCATGTAAAGTTAACATTTTAAATTTTCAAATTTTATTTTTAAAATTAAATCAACGGAACTATTTTTGAAATTTATCAGGAATAGAACTATTGTGAGCGCAAATGAAAGCGCACTTGCGGTGCAAAAAGATAAGATCAACATCACACACACCTTGGCATGTGTATTTGTGAAGTTAGCACAAAAAATAATAAGTTCCTGTAGAAATTTTCATAGTTCTACAGTTCCTTATAAAAATAAAAGAATTCTGCATTTTTTATACTAAAAAACCAAACATGAAAATATGACAACAAAAATGTTACTGGAATTGTCATTATTTTGTTTATATCAATAAAGTATCGTGATAACTTTACAGATACTTGTACGCTTTGATATAATTATAATATTTTAATTTGTTAAAAACAGTTTATCTAACAGTTTAAAAAAAAATGTAATTAAATTAGAGAAATATAATTAAATTATATAAGAAAATTATAATTTCTAATTTGGTTGAACACATCAATTTTTAGTAGCACAATGATAAAAAAAAACACAAAACAAATGCGCATGTGGAACTTGCATAAGCTGCTCACCAATTCGGCGCGGTGCTCCAGGTGTACGAGCGCCTCGCAAGAAGATATTGTCGAATGGACGCCTTCTCCTATTATCGCATGGGTTCATCGTGGTCTGTAATTTAAAATAATTTGGAAATAACATATTACGAATCGTAGTTAGGCATATAATGTAAAAAAGGGGGTTGGGTCTCTAAAAGCCGCGTGGCTCGCCCCGTGCTTTCGAATGATGCGTGCGAATGATTTAGTGAGTCGTGGGTGTATTTCGCCGTCGGGGCGTCGTCTTCCAATAGTTCCTTTTTTCATACGGTCTAACTTGATACACGATCGCGGTTCAGGAGAAGTAAGTACGAGAAGAACACGTTAATGGCGAATAGAGTCGACGTTCTTGAGTCAATTCCTACAGAAACCAATCCACTACAAGAAACGTATAAAAAAAGACATCGCGCTTCCTCTTTTTCCCAATTAACATTCTATCTATCCTGACATACCAAACAATCGTGATGTCGCGCTGCCACGTCGAGGACAGGTGTCTCGTACTGGGACATTGGTTATAGGTACTTGTTTTACGGAAACCGTCGTCGCGTCTGTCAGATTCTTACTTTAATGACGACTTTGCGACAGACTCGCGAAGAGTACATTGAAAAAAAAAAAAATTTTGACGCTTCTTCCTTCAGACCGATTCCGCTCCAATCTGTCGGCTAACACTCGGCTGGCCATCTGTGAAACCTCACGTGGCGCGTATAACGAGCGGGTCGTTATTAATTTGTCGCGTCAAGGAGTAGGAGGGAAGAGTCCTGTGGTCTCACGCGATCGTACGCGCGTAACCGTACGCACGATTACGCATCGTGCGCGCTGTACGCACGTACGTACGCAAGGCACGAAACGGCAAGGCGACTAACTAAATATTTATACACGTCAATCATAACACATGGCGAAGCATTCGCTGTCTAAACAGTCCGCGGTGCCCTTCCGTGCGAGCCACTTCGCCGTTGGCCGTTCATTATGCTGGCGGCACGCTGGAGGACCTTTCATTGCTCCTTACCTATCTCTAACAGGCACTCGATAGTTGCCGTTTGTCATGCGCTTCACGATGTTTGCCTTTCCACGGAGAAAAAAATCACATCGCGTTCGCTGGACTCGCGCCATGTGTCGCGCGCGCCGATATGTGCACGGTATTATATTAAAAAACGCTATTGTGCCGCGGACTGCCGTTGTGCTTTTCCTTTAGTTGAATGACCAAAATCAGAATAAGAATCGCGCGTAGTTAGAGATTCAAGTCGTTGCCACGATTGCCTTGAGTGTCACAAAGTGACACTTGTCGCGGTGATGAACAAATTATCAGTAGAAAATATAAGGAATCGGTATACGAGATGTGTACACGATTACAGTACATCTGTCCAAAAAGTCCCGAGACAGAATTTAAGAAAAATTGAGAAACGAAGATATATAAATTTTATTAATGAAATCTTTCAACATAATCCCCCTGACCTCAATACGCTACTTACGGCGTTCTTTCATTGGAAGTTTTTACAGTAGTTATCTCTCGAAATGATATTTTAATGCGTTCATCACATTGAAAGCTAATTTAAAATTAATTTGCCTGGGTGTCCACAATGCCATCCAAACGTGTTTTCTTCATTTACATTTTTAATTTCGAAAGTTAAAATCTACGTTAAAGAAAGCGATTAATATTTTAATTTTTTGAATTTTATCGCTCTCATTTGATCTGTTTTATTTCCTTTCAATTTAATTCCAAATTTGAATTTTGAAATAAAATTTGACAATAGTTGTTATATTACGAAAATTTTTACAAAGAAAGAATCTGACAAAACCCATTATATATCCATTATATTTTTTTAAAAACATACTTTGTAATGTCATGAAAAAAAATGCACAAGTAATCGAATGTTGATTGATACTAAAAGGTAGTAGTTATCGAAAAAAAATGTCGGTGTTTATGAAAAGGATCAGTCTCGCAATTTTGTAAACAGACCGTAGTAGTTAGCGGACGCGGATGTATCAAATGTTATTATAATGCAATTATTATATAAGATATGAGCATGTATAAGCATAAAGTGTAGGATTGCAAGCAGAAGTGCGGTGCAATGAAATGCAACGAAATCGGCAAAAATTAAGTGGATGCGGGCGAGGGTCGAGTGACTCTCACAAAACGTTCGATAAATGGCGGGACGATGGTGTTGAAACCACCTTTGGCACTTTGCAATAAGCCGGGAGTGCCTCCGGTCCTTATAAACGCACAAAGACTATGCTAATGATACGAGCGTTGCATTGACGGCTGGGTAAATACAAGCCGCTGCTACAAGTCCTGACGTGAGTTTATCGTGTAAACCGCCGTTAATGATTGCCAGCAAAGGTGAACCGGCCGTTTCAACGTGTTGCTATTTTAGTGGCTCGAGTTTAATTTAACGTTGCTATTCGACCATTTAAATTATCCGGAAGCACGAATAATTATCGAATAGTCGTCAACGCGTGGAGATCGTATAAAGAGTCATTAGCACCCTTCCCTTTCAACGAGAATGACAGGCATTTGTCGCGACTAATCGCGAATTAACGAAGGTAATTAAATTTTTTTTATCAAGTACTTCAACATTTTCCTTTTTTTTTTCTTCTGGGAGAAGAATGTGGGCGTAAAGAACAAAGGTCATTGAATTTGTTCGTATTTTAACTTTCGTTTGAAGTATATTACCTGTGACATGACATGTTTGTAACGTTTAACATTACTCGAACAGGCAATAAAATTTAATCGGAATGCGATTCATGGGTTGTTACGAGCGCGTAAAAGTCAAAAACACGGCGTGTGCCAAAGCGCGTGCTCTTCTTCGGATGTACTAATCTGAATGAATGGAGTAATAAAGTCGGAAGAGTTCTTCCACGATGAATCAATTATATGCAAAGAGTCATCTTTTCTTATAAAATGTGTGTTTTGTACAATAAAGCGAGAGTAACCCGATTTTTTTTGTTTTTATCCCTGATAAATAATCTTTTTAGTAAAATAGATATATAATTTTTTAAATGAAAAATTATATGAAGACTTAGTGAATTGTAAAAAAATTTTTAGTGTTTTAATTTAATATAAACTAACTTAATATGTGTATATATATATATATATATATATAATTTTGTTCTGAAAGAAGAAAAGATGCAAAAATTAAAGATTTTTTGCATTTACCTTTATTCAATCATTATTTATATAATTTCATTCACTATTTACTGCATCATTTTCAAAAACGCATGTATATGGATGTGTGTAATAATGTGTAGATGTATATAAGCGATATAAGTGTCCGCAATGTGTTGAGCTTGGTAAGCCCACATGACTTTGTTGATCAGTCATCCCTGAGAGAATATTTAGCGATATTTTCTCAATTGTGAGAACATATATAAAGTCCTGTATCGTTATATTACCGCCTGCGCCTTATTGCGGAGTCTTGCATACTTGAGTACGATGAAAACCAAGTAGGATGGGGTATTTTTCTATGTACTTTGAAAGAGAGTCTTTCGTCATTTATTACGGCATGGGATTGATATTCAATCTCACGATGACTTATCGATATGATACAATATCTCATTATTTATGATGGAGCGGAACATCGAAACACGGGCGGCGAACGCCTTTGTTTAACGCGGCGCAATTTCTGCGAACGGGAAACCGCTCTCGAGGTGGCCCATAAATTATTGCCACGCGTTCCTCCAATCGCTGCACCCGCGGCATCCACAATGAAAAATTCCGCGGCCAATGGCGGGTAAGAGAATGCCTGTTGGATTATGCTTGCACGCGTAACTGCCGCCTCCAGTCGCGCAATATGCACGGTAGAAGGATCGCGGATTTTTATTAGGGTCGCAGTTTGTACTGCCGTCATGATTTTCTGCATACTTTTACGACTCTGCGTTCACCGTTTCGCACAAATATCGTTCTTGTTACGATATTTGCGAATGCGTATTTTACGATTCGGTAACCTCGTATTTCTAGGCATGCATGCCTTTTAAATATAATAACACCTTTGCTTAGATCTCTCGGTGTACCCTGTAAATCTCGCCGCTGGTCTCGCCGCTGGTCTCGACAGTGGTAATAAATAACGCACGCCGATTACGTTATTGAGACTTGACACAAATGTTAGAGTTTTAATTAAACGTTTACTTGCGTTTCGTTACGGGAATTAATAGTAATCGTGGATGATGAACGCGTCTATGAATTATAGGAGAAAGTCTCTTTTTAAATGTACTAAACAAAGTAAGAAGTATAGTAAAAAATATAAAAGTTGAATATAAAACGTGATGTGAATAAATTTCCGAAGTTTCGATCAAAATTTTCTGCTAATTCAATGGTCCCATTCAGCAAAATATTTATTTTGCCACTGTTATAAGTTTTTATCGCACTAATTGGATTATATTTTTATATTTGGGAAGAACAATTTTTCTGAAATATCTAAAATTTTTCAATAGATCTGACATTATAATAATTTTGTTGAATCATCAAAATAATTACGTACTAAACTTAAGCAAAAAGTTTTAACATTCTAATCATCAGCTTCAATGTCCTATAAAATTATTATCAAATTTGTGTCTAATATAAAAATTCAGTTAAATATATCAAGCTAAATTTTTAGATACAACAAAATTTTTTGTCTAGAGAAATAGTTTTTATCTCAGTGAAAAATATTTCCAACAGTTGCACAATAAATATTCTACTAAACGCGGTCAATTTCATCTTGTGACATGTTCTTTCGACACATTCTTCTCTTCCAAGAGTCTTATAGGCCCTAATAAGTTCTTCATCATTAACTTGTGATTTAGATTTAATCACTTGATAATAATATTAAAATTCTAATTTTCTAGCTATAATTAATTATTAAACTTGTTAAATTACTAATGATTTTTTAGTGATAACTTTAAAAGTTCACTACAAAACTATCAGTTTAGTAATTAATCTTGAATAAAAAGATATAATTTTTATATTATCATCAGATTAAGCCTAATCACAAGTTAACCAAATGAAAAATCAGGTCAAAGACTTCTAACACATTTCAGGATAACTAATTTCTTAGTGATAATCACCGATAAGTTTGCATGCATACAAAAGATCGATCGTCATTGATTTTTCGGATTGATAACTTGCGATAGGAAGAAAGGATCCAGAGCGAGCACAAACACGACCCACGTGGCGCGCGCGGAGTCATAAACACGTCAGCCGATAAGCGTCCTCACAATACCGGTCTTCGGGGTTCTTCGAACTTTATCGGTATACCCAGGATAGGTATAGGTATATCGCGGGACCTCGAGTGCATTCCAGGAGGCATGAGATACGGAGAACTAGTCGGCCCCCGGTGGGTCCGATCGCCGGTATGTAGCGTCATCGCCAATGCGTTATGGGACTCTAATTGCGTCACAAATTATTTTCCGCCGCTTCCACGTGGCAGGGACAGTATTTCCTCCTCCGTTAAGATACACCGTGACAGGGAAGATAACCGGGATAAGAGAGGGAAAAAATAAATGTTACTTTATCATTTCGAATAAGTTTTAAGTAACTTTTGGAATTAGATGTCATTACTGTCATTAGTATAATTAGTATTATTAACATGGTATATCAATATAATTAATACGATTGTAATTAATTACACTGATACACGTGATGCAACGCGTTTTTATCAATTATATCGATTAGTTTTTTTCTGAAAATGTATCTACTAGATATTTTAAAAATCATATAAATAATGAGAAGGAAGAATTTCATTAAAAATATTAGTAATAATAATAATTATTACTAATCGAGATATGAAATAATAAATAAATCAATTGTTACAAATTCTTCATTTTAAAATTCCATAACTTTCCCTTGATTTCCAGATATAAAAAATATAGATATAATAAAATGTTATAATTTTCCGTGACTTCGAATAATATTTTAAAATTTTTTATATTTTCGTCCTCTCTCTAAATCTGAATCAGTGAATAATCACTAATATCAGTGCAGATATGTCTGATATCTGCCAGTGATAATCAGTGAATTAAATCTGAGATCCCTAACCTAGCTAATCTTTATTATGTAATCTAACTAACCTTGTTTTGCTTAAATCCAATGAATATGATATTGGAAGATTGAAATTAATATGAAAATGTCAGTATTTTAATTATATAATTCTCAAACATTCTTCCTTTTTTAGTTAAACTTGATTAGTGCTAAGTATGTGATTAGTGACTACCACTGATTCAGATTTAGAGAGCTGAATTAGAATATTAAACATTTTGTTAAGAGATTGATTTAACATAATTAAAATACTTAAAAAAGTTTACTATATCTTAATAAATATTTTTTTGAATTATTTATTTGTTATTATTTATTAGTTAATTATTTATTTATGCAAACATTTATTTGTAATATATAAATATTTACTTGATGAAAAAAAAGTTAAATCAAATTAATGGTTGTTGTATCAAATAAATGTTAACATTCAGTAAATGTTTACTTACAAATATTCAAAGAAATATTTATTAATATATTTATACAGTAAATTTTTTTCAATGAATGCGTTAATTGCTATTGCTTATATTTTTTAATTGTTAAGTTGGTAGTATCCTAAAACTGCGAGTGTGTATATTAAACTTCTTTAAAACCAAGAATTTTAATTTTCCAAAAAGTTTTGCAAAATTCCCTAATTTCAATTTCTTATTTTTCAATTTCCCTGATAATTCTGTGATTTTCCTGATTCCCAATTTTATGATAATCCTGTTTATATAAGAAATATATTTGGCCAATTTGAAACACACATAAAAGGAAGAATTAAAATGTACATAAATTACATTTAAACGAAAGTGAGGGATTCGCAGATTGTAAAGAAGTCATAAAAACGTCATTCTTACTTAATTTTACTGTCACGTGGCAACTTATAATGCAATTACAATATTAAAACCGTATTTTCGTCTGACGATTAATATACAAATCTGTATACGCGTGATGCAACACTCGTTTGCAAACGAGTTTGCAATTCAAGTGCCGTAGCTTATGCGGCTCTTACAACCGCAGCGGTAAATCTTTATCCATCAAGGATTGATAATGATCGGGGCGGGTAGTGATGAAGTGTCAGACTGTCGTTAGTTAAAAATTGCTAAAATGAACGATGATTGGAATGGACGAGGTTGGAGCGAACGGGATTACGAAAGCATGTTCGGCCCGCCGAAATATATCCGAGATTATCTCGTGCTCTCTCGAGATAATCGTCCTCGATCCGAGGAACTACCGGCTAATTTCAACTTTCGCGAAAGTGCTTCTCGCACTTGGGCATCGTTCCGACTTTTTCATTATCGCAAAAGAAAAGGAAGAGAAGAATTCGCGGGCGCTAATTGACGTTTTCTTGGCCCGGGCGCAACCACGAGGCTTAACTTAACGTTTCTTTAGGAGCGTCACCGTGAAATCTTCACCGTGTTTGTGAGAGATAATTTCCATCGTATATTAGCATACATTTTATTACACCTATCAGTTATTTATTCAATCTTAATACAATATTAATAACTGGACTCTTCAATGGCGCTCGCATACACAATCGCGCAATTTGGTCGCAATGAGGTAATAATAAACGTTTGATATTTCGATGTAGCGAGTAATTAACGCTAAGTGTCATTAAGTTATGCCGCAATGTCCACCACCGACTACATCTCTATACGATTAAAATCGCGTTGCTAGTGAGAGAATTCCTTCCTCGTTCGGCTGATGCAAGAATCCGATAAAGATCGCGGAGAGCGCGATGTGTGGTCTCGCGTGTGTGAATATCCGTTTAATCCCAACGTGCAGTCTTCTGCCCAATACGACGAGTTCCTCGTATAGGAGGCGCCGCCGCTTAGTTAACCGTTCACCCGGAGGAACGATGGCTTAATTAAACGTCGGCGATGTCGGTTATATCGCGTTGTCTCGTTCACATAGGCCTCGCACCGAGAAGCTGTCGTTTGACCCTTCGATAGCGTTTCGTAATTATGAAAGATAAGTGTCGTCGATAACAATGCTATCTACTCTCTCTATTATTATAAGAATCTGATCTGGTAGAATCTGATCCGTAACTTTTTTTTCTTAAATTTAACCACAGAATTCATTTGTATCTCCTTTAGAGTTTCGTTTCTTTATGAATACCACTTTTTTCGTGGGAATAATATAAACAATCATAAATATTACATCTTATGCTTATCTCGCGAGGATTTGTTGGAAAAAAAGAGACTTAGGTTTATTCCGGTGAATGAAGCAAGCAGATTCCGCATGTTTTGTGTGTGGTGACGAGTTATACAGCGCAATTAAATCGAAAGTGTAGTGTACTGCGAGAAAGAGGCACGCTCGTATTAACAAGCAGTAAGCGGCGGCGGCGGCGGCGCCGTGAGGCCTGTTTTGCATAAAAATTATAAGCCGAATTAATGTTTTCACCTTCACGTAAGCTTACACGTATACCGTGCTCGCTCACCAGCTCATGTGTACCGCGGATTCGGACGATGCGTGACTAACGCCGTGCTTTATTGCACGTTCGTACCAATCTCCTGTCCGGCATTTTCTCACGCGCGATCCTTCACCGCGATATTATTATTGATGCAATTCTAATCTGACAATTCGTGAAATTTATTGTAAGGTCATGCACATTAGTCTCTGTTCTATATCCGTCTCAGATATGACAGAATTGTTTACAACGCGCCGCGTTAAAATATCACGCTTATAGCGCTAAGACATGCAGTACCTGTTGCGATAAAAATCTATTTATTCAATCACTATCGCTGTCAAACGCAAATATAAATGTCATTTTTTACACTGTTGTACAAAAATGTAATAATTCTTTGCATTAGGTGGCAATCAATCCGTAATTATAAAGTTTCCTATATATGTAAAAGAAAGAAAGAATAATTCTGAGGTTCTAAAAATTTATATAGATACAGTTCTAAAAATAATTTTGTTGAACCATCGATATATTTATGTAGCTTAAATGTTGATGGCAATATATTGTAAAAAGTTTTAACGTTTTCAATTTAAATAATTAATTTGCAATCAAAGTGTTTTATATAATTATTTTAATGGTCCAAATAAAAGTATTTTTAGGTCTGTATCTAATTAAATTTTTAAATACTTTAACAAAACTGTTTTTTTTTTCGATAAATATTAATATTTCCAACTTGCATAAATTCGATAAAGAAAAATTTTATTAGACATGCGAACAATTTAAGCATTCTCATGATTTTCGTTGCAGGTGGTTTGGCTGACCGCAGTCCTGTGCCCACGGCTTACTGCCGCCAACAATCTAACTTTATCCTCCTCCTCTCGAAGGCCCAGGGAAGAGCCTTTCAGAGGACATATTTCTCGCTGGTGAGTAAAAATTTTCGGACAAAATGTGACGAAAAAAGAAAACGAGAAAATATTATCGAATTTGTTCGATCTAATTAAATTAAAATAAATTTTTTTTAACAGTTTAAGTTTGGAGTTTAAGTGTGTATTAAAATATACACTTATCCATTTGTATATTATGTTGTTCTCGATATTCATGGTTCATTTAACAATATTTGCGAATAATTTATTGAAACGCGGTGTACATTACATTTGGATGTTTATTTTATCAATCGCACGAATTTCTATCTTAATTATTATTGCTAGTGTGCATAAAATGTTAATAATGTATACGAAACGAAGTAAAATATCATGTTCCACGAAATTTTGTTTTAAACCGCTACAACATTCTATCGCGTAATTTAGATACAAGCTATTAGCGCGCTTGGCATGGGAGGAATAATATCGGCGTTTCTTTCGGTGGCAAGAATTCGATTTAAATTCAACAGGGCACGCTGCGGTATAGTCGAAGCGTGCTTTTATTATTTTTTTTACATATATTTCCCATTAAGTCTCCTGTTAACACGACGATCGTACGCGCGATTAGACGACGATTAGAATTTAATCCGAAAGTATTCCGTAAATAACATCCGCTTGTATTCTCAAAGAACGAAGTTGGTCGAGTGAAAATACGTTTTGATTAGGAAATAATGTCGATTATAAACAAGAATTGATTAAACAGGAGAAATGTTTGCCGTTGCAATTCGCAGGGCAGAACCACTAGAGGAGTCGACGAACAAGCGGATGACATATAGGGAGATGCAGATGATACTGCGTCTAGAAGGCGAAGACGGCCGCCCGGTCGACTGCTGTCCTACGATAGAGGAAATGGTGGAACCGTTTGGCGGTCGAACTCGAGAAGACATGTACGTCGAGCTCTATCGGGATGGCGAGAACGTCCAGAGATTCTTCGAGTACTCCTGCAGGCTAGACGTTGTCGGCAAGCCGTGCAGGTTCGTCGATCGGAAATTCAGCAACCGGTCCATATGCGTACAAAAGCACTCGTATACGTACGCTATCATCAAGAGTCCTGGATCGAAGGTATAATCACGAAATATCAACATTTTCCCATAATTTCAACATTAATCCTTAATACACACTATTATATGGACTTAAAAATTTTCTAGCATTACACGAAGTTTCTTTAAATAAATTAATACTCGCGAAAAATACTAGAATTGAAAAAATATACACTGTTAAATCTATAGTGTCAAATTTAACTTAATGTGAGTCGCCACTGCTCCTATTAAATATATCGTTATTTTTTACTAAAACGATATATTTAGTAATATAGATTTAACAGTATATAATCTTCTTTATTTAAAAAAATGTTATTCTTAACCTTTAATATACACGATGATTTTTCGGTCTTTTATTACATACGATGGGTCATTCATATGTTCTGCACATTTCTTTTTCTTGATTAACTAAACTAGGCGCATCAAGTAATTAGTTATAATATTTATTAATTATTTATTAAAATAAAATTAATTTGTTTAAATACGCAACCTTATGTTAAGTACTTTCTAAAGTTATTAAAGTATATGTATAAGAATCACTTAATTTTTGTAATAATTTTTTAAAAATAAAAGTTATCGAGGGATATAGGATAATTATTGTATTAATTCCAGATTGGAACGGAGGAGCACAGAAGGCACCACCACAGAGAACGCCATCATTTTCCCGCGTTTTCCGGTAACACCGTGAGCGGATCCGAATGGACGTTGGACTACATCAGAGTACGAAGTGGGTGCAGCTGCGAGATCATGCCGAAGCCGAAGAAGAAGAAAATTGCGGCGAAGACGAAGAAAACGAAGAGCAAACAGCGTCAACCAAGGGACCAAGAGTCGGATTTAGAAACGTGAAAGTGTCGATTCGTGTCCTAATGACAGTAATTGTATTGCGACTGACAAGAAAATGCGCGTGCGAATGTGAGATTATGTATAAGATGTGGGAATGTGCGTCTGAAGAGTATTACTAATCGTCGGATGCAATGAAAACGTTACCAACAATCATATCATCGATTTTTCTGATGACAATTATTTACGTAATGATAATTTATTAGACATTATGTGGACGTAGAACGCGCCGTTTTGTAAATGACGCGTTTAAAGTCGGTCAATCGATTTATACTCCTTGATGCTTTATTTACAAATATTTTTCTTAGCGTATTTTAAATATTTTCTTCCTATTTATTATCAATTACTTTGATAAGAAATTTTTGCTAATTAAATATAGGTATGATTTGTCAAATTTCATCAAATTATTTGTCTAGTTTGAAGTTACGATCTTACAAATCGATTACTAACGAATTGGGCCTAGATTCTTGAAAGATATCGCATACGAAAATGTATGAAAATATTATAGTACACATTATGTATATTATAGATTTCTTTAGTTTTTCGTATGCAATTTCAAGAATCAAGTCTCAATACATTTTCGAAACCTTTCAAAATAAACATAATTGACTGATGTCGCATTTCAAGATAATAATATATTGAGATAATTTCATCGATTCTTAAAATAGGCGACTTGATGCGCATTAATTTAATAATTTAGCTTAATTAAATTTAATCCTCATTTTACCGGCGGCCAGTTTTCATTCTGTACTTTTACGTGTATAGTATATATTTGTATGTACTCGGTAGCTTGTGAGAATTTTAATAAGATAAATAATATTTTAATTAATTAGAATTTAACTCATTGCATTTATATCTAGATCTGCGAGGCACGTTATTATTCAATAACGAAGATGTGAATCATAGTACTACTAAAATCTATTTAATTAAAATTGGTGTAAAGTATATTTAATTTAAACTAATACGATTCGACTCTCTTAAGAAACATTGACTAGAGTAAAACGTGCCAACAGCCATGACAATTATTAATAAATCTGACTATCTCGTAAGAAATGCGAAAAAATATTTACATAAAACCATTAGATTAAGTCTTTTTCACTGCGCAAATTTTCATTTCACGTCGATATGATGCGTAAATGAAGAATATGTTATGTTAATGACTAAAATATTTCTCCTACTCTTTTTCTCTTAATTTCTTGCATGGCACATTGATAGTTTTGATCAATCTTTACATTACTGCAATGTGCAATGCAGATTTGTGGAGAGTTATATTGTAGAGAGTTATATTTTTAATTTATATGTACTCATAAAATAATTTTATATTAGCACATTAATTTCTGAAAAATCTTTAATGCACAGCTGTACATATTTCCACGGGAAATAAGGAATTTGCTGCTTTATGTCACAATGTCTATGTATGTTTCATAATATTAACATGCTTTTTTAATTACTTTTGATATATACTTCTTCATTATAACTGCCGTATTAATATATAGTATAAATGTATTCTAGTATTTGTTGTATCATACATAACACCTTCGTAAACATGCGGACATGTTTTCTGTATCGCCGTGTAAACATTGTACATAAACGTCATTAATATACTTGTTATAAAATCTGATTCAATTATATTGTATCTTTTTTCTACATTGTACAATATATGTACAGAATATCTCAAACTTTGACACATCGTTTACGAACAAATAGACTAAACTTCCACTTGCATGGAAAAGTTCTCTACCATTTTGCAATTTTCGCAATTTCTTTTTAGTTATCCAATGAGCAGATTGTTTAAAATCGTGCATAAAATAACTTTGAGATATCTTTGAGAGTTCTTAAGAAATATTTTTAAGAATAATTTCATAAAGAACTCTGAAGAATATCTTGAAGCTGTCTTACTGTCTTGAAGTTGTCGATTTTATCCGCTTAGTCGGCAATTTTTAGAAATTAATATCTCATTAATTATTGCAAAATGAATAGGGGACTTTTCGACTCAATTTAATCCAGTCTATCTACTCACAAACGGTGTGTCAAAAAGGGACATTCGGTATAATTCCTTTCAAGTAGATATATATATATATACAAGTATATATATATATATATATAAATTTTAAATAAACTTTCTGTTAAATATCTAAGGATAAGGATATTTTTTGATGCATATCGACGAGAAATAAAGCACAATCGTAGAGTTTTAAACGCAATAGACGCGCGCCTTAGGTCGCTATTTCATTTGTGCGTTTTTATCATACGACAAATTTTTCAAGTCTGTGATTAGCTACAAGATAAAGAGATCCGAGGACCTCTTTGTTCTTACACATTTGTCGTAGGACGAAAACAAAAAAGGGCGCAAATGAAATAACATTCCCTTATACTATTGATGCAATTTTTAAATCGAATAATACAGATTTTAAATAACTAAACTCTATTATTGATATTTTTCATGAAATTCTTAGTACTCATTTTTTTCCAGAATGTTCTCAGTGTTTGAAATAATTTGAACGTGATAAAATTGTTATAAGCAACATTAATCTGTTATAAGCATATTAATTCTATATTTTTAATCGACAGAATTATTATTTTATTGTATATGTTCCAATTAAGTCATGCATAATCTGATAACTATAACATTAAATATAGACATTTTAATTATATATTAATTATATTAATTACAAGAATGGTGTGTTCCTAATCTATAAAACAATAATTATTATGATCACTGTCTGTGTGTTAATTACTGTATCATATTTGAACAGAATTGATTCACTCATGCATATAATTTTTTTAATATAGTCATCTATACTAATTATAGAAATTTAACACTTGATCTATAAAGGAATTACTCCAGGGATGTCCTAAGGATGTTTAATATCCTAAAAATGTTTTAGGACATCCCTTAAAGAACTATGTATGTGGTATGTACTATTATTAATTTATTATTATTTAAATTATTCTAAGACAAAATTAATGAACAGATTATACCTCAAACTAGCCGTGCCATCCTACGATTGTACGAGTAACACGCCGCTATACTCACGGAGTTCACTTGGCGAATCACATATTTGCATCATTGACGAAAAAATAATATTTAATGACGGATTCTTAATTAGGCGTACGTCTAGAACTTCTACGCTAAAAGTTTTCAAATCGAGTTTAATCTGATGCAAAAGTATCAAAACTACTAAATGGATACCCTAGTAGAATCCGTGGGACACAGCAAAAAAGCATTTGATACTAGACTCACGGTATCCGTATTAATAACGATTGTATAATAACATTCGCGTGACGATCAACACTTTACAAGATACTTTTGACTGTTTTTCGCGCACGAGAATCACTTTTGAATAGTAACGACCGTAAAAAATGCGGAAGGTTGAACATGATTTCACGACCCGCCGCGATGCCTTCCATTACTGAATCTATCGAATCGAGAAGCGATATTGCGATTCTCGAAATATCGCAAGGGCAGCACGCTAATTGGCTAGCGCGGTAATTTGTATCATTTGAACTTTCGCGCACTCGGTGTAAAGTGAGAACAGATAGATGAGAATTCGCTTGGACGCAGTAGTGCGAATTAACCGTAATAATATAACTAATTTAAAATCTAAAAGTAGAGAGAAACCTGAGAGCGATCATCCCAGCCTTCTTTATGTACCGTCAGAGAGGAATCCGTGAGAAAGGACATGGGGATTTTCTCCAGTAATCGCAAAATGCGCGATATTACTGCCCTCTGAAGAAGTGGATATAAACTACATATCAATATTACCGACGAGGTATTATTAAAGACGGTAATCAATCTTGGGAAAATTTTCATGATTATCAATGAGGCCCGGGAATAATTGAAGAACGACGATATTATTAACAATTAATAAAAATGCGATTGTTAACATAAATATAATATTTGGATAATATATTATTAAATTCATGATCTTTTTTATAATATAAATGGTATAATTAAATATAAGTATGCATACTTTTAATGCTATATACATCTTGCTATATAATATCTTATATAATGCTATATAATGTATTACCGAAAAATTACAATTTTTTTCTGCTGTTATCATTTCTACTGATAATCAATTACTGGATTTCTACTAAAACGGATGATAACATTAAAATCACAGTTTAAAAAAATCGAGTATTATTAAGTTTTGAATATATATATATA